CACACACACACACACACACACACACACACACACACACACACACACACACACACACACACACACACACACACACACACACACTGAGGCACATAAACAACAGTGGAATCCTGAGGTCCAGCCCTCTTGAAATCAAGCCACACTAAGACTTTAATAAAGGGCTTGTTGTTTCAGGAGGCAGCTTATATGGTTTTAAGTTTAAACGCTTTAACAAACTCCTCTTAACTCATAAAAGTTTAGATAAAATTAGTGGGCATTTACCCTCCCCCCCCCCTTTGATTTCACTCAGGTACTTCTAGCAAAAATATATATTCTATTAATGGTGCTGCTGCAATTTGAATAGTGTGCTAAATAAAACCAGGTTGCTGTTACTACCTCAACTGGCCCCGCAACATCTCAGCCAATCAGAGACCTTGCCTGGTCGGACCTCTTTTATTGGGGCGGGGTTTCGCTGAGGGGGTCACAAGGAATGATGTAACCTGTGTTTATTTTCAGCTTATACAAGTAAATCAAGACACCCTCCCACACAGAAGCCCTCACGAAAGCGTCCGATGACTCTTTTTGCGTGCAAAGTTTTACATCTGTGATTGTGCCTTAAGTTCATGTTGTTTGCATCTTGGTGGGTTTTCTTCCTGTTTTGTGAACAGTGTTTGCCACTGTGCATTCCCATACGTGCACTGGATAAATAGGAAAAACAGTATGTTTATCACAGGGTGGAGAAAAAAACAAATAAAAAAGTGAAAGGCAGAGACAGAATGAGAGACACAGAAATTTAGTCATGGCCAATAATACTCATGGTGACCTCCCTTCCGTTCCGTCAGCTGCAGCTGTTGATCACGCTGGTGTAACAGTGATCTTTCTTGCATTGCATCACTCTCTTTACCCCGTCCGGCGCTGTCCTGCATTTACTCTGCAAAAAGCATTGATCAGTCATCCATAATGCATTGTTTGTTCAAGAAGGGCCAGTGCTCCATACAAAAAGTGATAATTAATTGATTGTAAATTCTGGTTCAGCATGTTGATCCTGTTTCTCTTTTGTAAAAACTGCATGCTACTTTACCTTTTTATGAGTCAAAATGTTCATCTCATTCGGGATATTCTGACTATACCTGAAAGACTTTGTCTTTAACTTTATTTACAAAAAAAAAATCCCCATTAAAACATGTTATGATTGGTAATTCCTTCAAAAACATTGATCTCATTAAATCTTCAGCATACTGTCTCTGTGTCCTAACTAGTGTTTTTCTTTTAGCTTTGTTTTGTTGCTTTTAGTTAGAGCTTTGTAACTATAAGGTTTTAGGTAGTCTTTTGCTACATTTACCTTAAGTTAACATTTTATTATAATATTTTGCCACATTTAGCTACTGTTTGGCCTTACACCACTTTTAGCTTTGACATATTTACTTTTACTTTTTAACAATTAGCTAACATTACTTTTTACCTAGCAATTTGCCAGTATTAGCTTTTAGCTAACAATTTTCTAGTTTTACAGAGCATTTAAGAACTTTTACATTTTTGYTATTTTAGCTTTATGCTGTCATTTAGTTACTTTTATCGTTTTTGGTTAGTTTTGCCTTTTAGCTAGTCTTTTCTTCTTTTAGGTTTTAGTTTATAAAAACTCAGTTTCATCTTTTCTTTTAAGTCATTCACACACTGTTTTCACAGAAAATGCAGCTTAGAAATTGACATTTTGAGACTATGTGACAAATGTTGCTAAAGGCAATGCTAAATGGGGTCACTGAGAAGCTTTGGAAAGTCAGTTTATGTTGCATCAAGCCAAAGTGAAAATTGAATTAACAACTTTGTCTTCTTGCTTTTTAAAGTAGTTTTGACTCGTCGGCTTGCCAGACAACCGGCCCTCAGTTATTTGTGCCATGTGACGATGTGTGCACAGCGGGTCGTCGGTCATGTTCTCCATCTAGAGAACGCAGCACAGGGACCATGTAACTTCCCAAGGAACTCGTCCACTAGCACACATCAGAGACATTCCACCTCATCTGACACTCGTCCATGGAATTCTGCAAATTTTCCACACTATTCTCACAGGCGTTCTAAAGGGCCTGTCAAAAAAGACTGAGCAAACCTCAAGCACCTGCAACCAAAAGAAACATATTAATGCAATTTTCAAAAAAGCTTGTTTTTCTATTTAATTTGACCTTTTTGCATCCAAATACACAACATTTCTGTTGCTCAGGTGTTTTTGGTTTGCTTGTGCGTCTGTGCAAAAATGTTTTCTGTTTGCTCTGCTGATAGGTGATAATTTGTCATAGATTTGTGCAGAGTGCCTCTCTCCTCCAAGCTGGTATGACCAGTGTATGCAACCTATAGTTGACACCTACGTGTTGCACTGGGAGCACACTAAATGCTTCAGATGACTTGAGGATTTACTTGGCAACCCATGGCTGTTTTAAGACCATGGATACACTTTCAGTTTGGATGGAGCACAAAGTTTTCAGGTCTACATGGAGAGGAATTAAAAAAAAAATAGCACAGAACCTGCATAGATCATGTGCTCATTGTTATGTGTGCAGTTAGCTGAATGACTTCATCCAAATCTATTTAGATGACGTGTCACTAACAGCAAGAAAACACTTGAAATATTTTGGCCGTTTTTGTCACTCGCTGTAGGTGAAGTGACAATAATATTTCTGTCCATGCTAGCAAAATATCTCGCGAACCACTTAATGGATTTTAATGAGCCTTCCAGAAAGTGATAATTACATGTCAGCTAATTAACATCTGGAGTCAACCTTGTTGCCTCAGACATTAGCAYACACACAGATTACTACAATTCAGCCAATTTTACAGACCTAAAATGTGGAGTGGTAGTATAGCTGAGAGTCACACACAGCACTGAAACATTTCTGCTTTAAACTTTGTCATTAACCTTTCAAGTCAACCTGTCTGTTTGCAAAACATTTTAGCACCATCATAAAGTAATGCACAGTCAGTGTAAAAAAGAATAAATGGTTAAAACTGTCAATGTTACAGATATTTTGCTAAAATTTGGTGTGAGACATCCTCAACACTTTGAGACAGATTGCGTGATAAGTGCTCAGACTTTTGGCACCAGCTTTTAAAATCAATGCTGCTGGTCTTTTAGGGAAATATTCAACGAAGACTGCGTAAAATTGAGAGAAACCTTCAAAAATAATAATCATTAACTGATTTATAAAATCTGGAGTCCGTCTAAATTTGGATGGTCATGTACAAAAGTTTGATAAACGGCTCCAACTCTGTTATTTTTCAAAATAGTTGGAATTTAGACGCACTTGTGATTCCAGAAATATATATAACTCAGTGTGCAATTAGCCAATTGATGCGGCGGGAAGGATCAACTGAAGATAAAGATGCAGAGGGGGGAGTGGGGAGGAGGGGCCGACACATGCGAGGTACAGGACAACCTCGTGCTCGCTTCATAACCTCCCCACATTTTGTTGCTGCCGCAGCTGTCGCGACGGGCGCGCACGCATGCAGGCGGAGAGGTGCGCTCTTTCTGGAGTGACTATGTCCTGTCTGCCTCTTTGTCTGTCTTCTTTCCCTTTTTTTTAACTGAACAGCTACCAGTGAACCACTTCGACTAAAAAAAAAAAAAAAAAAAAAAAAAAAAAAA